TCAGAGAAGCACAAGATAACATGACAGTTTCAAATGCACCACACGGCAGGTTCATGATTTGGACTAAGCTCATGCCTGCTCTCGTAAAAACAACAGGAAACTTGTTTTTAAGAGGCTTCAGCATTCTTCAGATGAAGGAAGTGCTTGAATGGCAATGGAGGGGGATGGAGGCTGTCTCATGAACAAGGAAAAGCTGTTATGGGAATGGAGAATGAGTTGACTGTACGATGAACAGCAAAAGCACTAGGCGAATGGCAGAGTCGTTACCTAATGTTGTCCCAGAGGTCTCAGTTGTAAAAGTAATGGGTCCGAGGTCTGTAATAGGAACTGAAGTAATAGAAATAAAGAAGGTATCAAGAGCTACATTACTTCAAAATGAATTTGCCAGTATCCTATCACCTTTAGAATAATTTTTAAAAATTTTTCTGGATAAAGGTAGTAATGGACTGAATTATGTCTTCTTAAGATTCACATGAAGCCTTAACTCCCAATGTAACTGTATTTGGAGACGGGGCCTTTAAAGAAGCAATTAATGGTCATTGATGGGTGAGACCCCAACCCAATAGGACTAAAGTACTTATAAGAAGAGGGGGGAGAGAGATGAAGAACTTTTGTGCAAGGACAAAGGGAGAGAAAAGACATAGCAAGATGGTGGTCATCTGCAAGCCAAGGGGAGAGACTTTAGAAGAAATCAAACCTGCTGACACCTTGATCTTAGAATTCTAGGCTGCAGAGTGGTAGGAAGTAGATTTCTTTGTTTAAGCTGCCCAGTCCTTAGTATTTTGCTATGGTGCTTTAGCAAACTAATACAAAGAGAAATCACTTTCTTTGTCCTGATTTGGCCAAACTATAGTTCCCAACATTTTTATCTCATGAGATAGTCATCACTTTTGGTCACTGTTTAGCATCCGTTCACTCTCATAGAGGGACAACTCAATTCAGTGTGGAAAGAAGAGATTTCTTTTTTTAAAAAATATACATTATTGATATTTTACAGAGAGGAAGGGAGAGAGATAGAGAGCTAGAAACATCGATGAGAGAGAAACACCGATCAGCTGCCGCAACCAAGGTACATGCCCTTGACCGGAATCGAACCCGGGACCTTTCAGTCTGCAGGCTGACGCTCTATCCACTGAGCCAAACTGGTTTCGGTGGAAGAGATTTCTAATCCCCACGTGAACAATATCAGCCTCCTTCAACTTTCACAGTGTCATCCAAATGCATAATCACCAACAAAAATACTCTGACTGATAGAAGAAGCAAGATCTCCTCCCCCTCTGTTTGCCTCTGCACATAGCCTATTCTTTTCAACTTTGTTCACTTCACCTTTCCATTTGTGTAAATTCTGATGTGACATCAAGGTCCAAACTCTATTCCTACTTTACAGAAGCCCAAGTGGATTTTCATTTCTTCAAGACTTTATATAATGCATCTAACACTTTATGTATCCAAGAAAAATCTTGAATTTGTACAAACACCCTGCCTTCTCATTCTCTAGGCTTTTCATGCAGGAAAAGTTTTTCTGCTCCATTAGCCTGCAGACTGAGGAGTAAAACATGTCTCTAATACTCAGACGTCGAGGGAAGATTATGTCTCTTCCAAACATAAACTCCTTGCCAACCCTGAAGGAGGAAGGACTCTTCGATTCCCTCTCTAGATGGTATCTGAGTTTACATTCTCCACCAGTGACTTTAAACCAAGGCCTCTGCTTTTATCTGGTGTAGTTTCAAGTGCATCTGGACATGGAGTGGTCTTAAGTTTGTGTTGTGAATGACATGTCCATTGGGATGTGAAAAAATATAACGCTCAGTTACTTTAAACTTTATGGTTCTGCAAATTATAGGGTTGTAAAAAAAATCTTGAAGTTTTCCGAACCTTGATAGATTTTCTTGAGTTTCAGGAAATGGATCTTTCTAGCATAAAAAAATTATCCTACTATGTTACTGTGTCTTCTTTTGTTATTGAAGATGTGTGTGTGTGTGTGTGTGTGTGTGTGTGTGTGTACACAAAATTAACATAAAAATGAAGTTATTAATTCAGGGAGTCAGATTGGTATTTTTCACATTATCCTAGAGTTCTCTGACTACATTTAAAATTTTAAGAATCATTTCTTTTTTAAAAATATATATTTTTATTGGTTTCAGAGAGGAAGGGTGAGAGAGAGATAGAAACATCAATGATGAGAGAGAATTATTGATTGGCTGCCTCCTGCATGCCCCTTACTGGGGCTGGTGCTCACAACCCAGGCATGTGCCCTTGACCAGAATAGAACCCAGGACTCTTCAGTCTGCAGGCTGATGCTCTATCCACTGAGCAAAACCAGCTAGGGCAAGAATCATTTCTAAACTATGGTGGAGAGTAAGGGAGAGTCAGATTAACCATAGGATGGAGCTTGCCATTTAAACTTATCAGCCTTGATCATATTATCTGTTAGACAATCCTCTAAAAACACACTACCCAAATGTTAACAAAACAACAACAGCAACAAAAAAAACCAGGCAGATAAAAAGGTATATGTACAAAGAATGTATAAAGAAACTTTCTTATTCCTTGTTAGCATAGACCGAGACCAGGCATTTATGTAATTTACCTTAACAAAGCACTCTGGTTAATCTAAAAACATAAGGTGGCATGAAAAAATGTTAAAGAACTGTACAGGACAAGAACCTATCCCAAACTAGATTTAGGCATGGCTCTCTTAAGAACAAGAGGTAACTTGTTCAGCTCATAAGTTGAAGAATTTAGTTGAATGGAAACAAAGTGGAACAGGTTTGACAATGAGCAAAGCAAGCACTTGCTGAAGGTCAAAAAGTGGCATTACCAAATGCTGTCCCTGGAGCCTCTTTTATAGGAGTGAATGGTTCCAGGACGAGAGTAGGAGCTGACCAAAAAGAATAACAATAAAACAATGAAATGGTAAACATTTATATCATCTCAGAACATTCACTTGAAAAAGAATTGTACCGAAGTAATCATGTGTCTAGAGTACAAAGCAAACATCACCAACCCTCTGAGCGGAGGGGTATGGCATCTCTGCACTCAGGTACCCATGTACCACTTTGAGACCATCTTTGTGCTCAGATAACTATCCCTATGAAGTGCCCCTGAAGATTCTCGCTCACTTTGGTAATCCTAGTCTAAGTAATGCACCAAAGTAGACCATACCAATCATGCTGAAAACTCACCTTTGAAAGAGACCACCAGGATACTTAAAGAGCAGCGTAAGGGGCACCCATTCAGTCTGAGGTAGCAGGGTATCTATCCATCTGTCCAGTGCTTAGGGAAAGCTAGACCACACATGGATACTGATGATTCTTATGAAATCCAAACTCCCAAAGCCAACATTCAAAATCCCTTTTCAACTGGCCCAATGGGCTCATTTATCTGCTGTAATCTCAATTAAATGCTCCATTCAGCACTTAGAAGCCTTTGCCTCCTCTCACTGGCTTCTATACCTGTCCTTCCTTTCTGTACTTCTTCATCCCCTTACCGCCCAAACTATGCCTCCTACACCAAATCTTGTCCATGGCTTGTTTTCAAACAGCCCATGAGAGAAAAAATTATTTTTCTTCCCTATTTTAAGTTGTAAGAAAAAAGGGAAAAAAGAAAAATAGACAACAAAGACTATATAACCCCCAAAGCCCCCAAGTATTTACTATCTAGCTCTTTGAAAAAAAAATGTTTGCTAACTCTGGCCCTAAATCCTTACTATGAATTTTAAAAGTTTTGCTTTTATTGATTTCGTTTTTATTTTAAAGAGAGAGGGAGGGTGAGGGATAGAGAGATAGAAACATACATGAGAGAGAAATGTCATTGATTAGATGCCTCCTGCACACCCCTGGGGATCGAGCCCCCAACCCAGGGATGTACTCCGACTAGGAATCAAACCAGTGACCTCTTAGTTTCCTGGCTGATGCTCATCCACTGACCCACACTGCCGGGTGGTCCTTACTATGATTTACACAACCTTTATAGTTACCAAGAAATAATTTCCTATTTGTCCAAACATATGTTGTTTTGTAGTTGTTTCAGTCCGTGATACAATTTCAATATTTAAAGGATGAGTAGAATCAAAGAAGAAGTCAAATAGAAGATTCAGATTCACAACGTACAGGGAATTGGCTACCACCTAAGACCTCTCCAACCATGTTCTCAAGCCTACTGTGGAGTGGAGGCAGCTGCTGACCCTGCCTGTCCCTTCCCTTTCTCTGGACCCCACGGGGGTGGGCTACCAGGACTCCTTATCCAGGATCTATGCATTTACCTAGTACGGTCTGAGGAGCTTCCGGACTTGGTGTGGTTTTAGGTTTGGGACGTGGATGGTGAGTTTGTTCAGGCACTTTGGGAGCTAAACGAAGAAAATCTCTGGTTAATAGAGTGTTTTTGTTCGATAAGCTGAGAATAGGATTATGCTTGTTATACTTGGCCTTCTTAAAACAAATGAGTTGTTTTAATACTCTTCAGTATATTATAAGATAACTGAATGACAATGGAGGATGACACAGAAGTCCTGGGAAGCAGAAAGATCCATGGTTGTGAGGGTGATGAAATGGGTTGAAATGAGCAGGAAAAGCAGATGCTGGTGAACACAATGTGTCATTACCTAGTGTTATTCCAGGAGCTTCGGTTCTAGGAACAACTGGTTCAAAGATTGTGGCAGGAACTGATCAAAAACAATAAAAGGAACCAAAAAGATTTTTTGTGAATTCATGAAATGTCAGAAAATTCATTTTGCCAGTAAAAATAATGCTTCTAAGGGAGATGGGAAGGGGGAGGGACAAGATGGATTACACAAAGCTTTAACACCAAGAGGCAGGAACTATGGGGGTGGGAGATGGAGTGGGATGGGGAGCAGGGGGTCACCCTCGTCTATCTACCACGCATACAACAGAGAGCCTAAAGGAAGCTGAGACTATACCCACTAAGAGACTAATCCTTAGTGGAAACAATGGCATTTAACATCATTAAGATGAGGATCAACCTCTCAGTTTGTGGTATCATATTAAGCTAGGCATCTTCAGTTCTAAAAAAGCCAACTGGATCAAATGTAAGCTCCTGAGTAAACATCCCAGACTTCCCTTATATATATAATTGATTTCAAAGAGGAGAGATATAAAATTGATTTCAGAGAGGAAGGGAGAGGAAGAGGGAGATAGAAACACCAATGATGAGAGAGAATCATTGATCGGCTGCCTCCTGCACGCCCCCTACTGGGGATAGAGCCCACAACCTGGGCATGTGCCCTTGACTGAAATCAAACCCAGGACCCTTCAGGCCACAGGCCGCAGCTTTATCCACTGAGTCAAACTGGCTAGGGCCCAGACTCCCCCTTAATTCATCCCATGAGCCCATTTAACAGGATGGCATCAACAAGTCATCCTCTGTTTGGTATGCCAGCTTCAACACGTTCCCTGCTTGTCTACCACTAGTCCAAATTCTGTACTGATTTCTTTCTAATTATCCTGGATTTTTTCCTGTTCCAAATACTCCCCGCACTCTTAGCATATAGTAATTGCACCATTTGACAAGTTATTTTACATCATATAAACATGCCGCCTTATGTTATTTTCTACTGGTTTAGGCAGGAACAGCTTCTGTTTACAGCTATAGTACAAACTGATTGGGGAAATAAAACTTACTTCCTACTTCTGATGTATCTCACAGCTACTACTATGGTCATGGAGGTTTAGAAGGGATTAATGAAAGTCGTTGAATTGATTGCATAGGTTCATACTTTACTGAGCAAGCTTTAACATGAATGGACTCAAATAGGAAAAGGTACATTGATGGAGAAGATTCCCACGCAGGAGGCATGGGGTGCTCAGGTCATGTTCTCCTAACCAGTAGCTTTTACTCTTAATGGATACATAGGACATATATCAATTATGTGCATAGAATTTAGGATCCCAACTTGGGTGACTATTTGGATTCCTTAAATGAGAAATCACATATTTACCCAGTGGAATCTGAGGTACTTCTGGAAGGGGTGTGGTTTTTTTAGGTTTGGGACGTGGACGACGGGGTCTCTTTGTTGTTTCTGGAGC